GGAGTAACATTGGCCTTTCTCCAGTCCTCGGGCACCTCTCCTGTCCTCCAGGACCTCTCAAAGATGATGGAGAGTGGCTCAGCAATGACATCCGCCAGCTCTCTCAGCACTCGTGGGTGCATTCCATCGGGGCCCATGGATTTGTGGACGTCCAGCATTTCTACTAAACCACATCCTGAAGTGCCACATCCACACGTTTTTTGAACCCCTCCAGGGATGGGAACTCCCCCACTGCCCTGGGCAGCCTGGTCCAACACTTGACCACACTCTCAGTAAAGAAATTCTTCCTAATATCCAATCTAAACCTCCCCTGACGCAACTTGAGGCCATGGCCTCTCGTCCTGTCGCTGGTTACTTGGGAGAAGAGACCAATCCCCCCCTCACTACCCCCCCTCCTGTCAGGGAGCTGTAGAGAGCGAGAAGGTCTCCCCTCAGCATCCTCTCCTCAACACTGCACAGCCCCAGCTCCCTCAGCCACTCCTCATCAGACTTGTTCTCTAGACCCCTCACCAGCCTCGCTGCCCTTCTCTGGACACGCTCCAGCCCCTCCATGTCCTGCTTGGAGTGAGGAGCCCAACACTGCACACAGCACTCGAGGTGCGGCCTCACCAGTGCCGAGTCCAGGGGCACCATCCCCTCCCTGCTCAGTGGGTGGGAAGGCACCCACCGGTAGGATAACCTGCTTTGGAGCTTTCGGAAGGGCCACAGCCAGCAGCACCCACGCCTTGGAGCACGCGAGCCCAGGGAAGGCGACTGCATCTGCCAGCGGGAACACGTTGTTCCGCCGGAGCAGCAGCACGAGGGGAGCACCAAGATGCCCACGGTTACGCACAAAGCCAGGCAGCGTGTCTGTGGGGGTGCACACGCGCGGCTGGACACGTGAGCACGGCTCACGGGTTCGTGGGCGTGTACAGGCACAGGCTCGTGTCTCCGTTCGCGGAGGAACATGGGATGAGGTCCGGGAGCGCGGCCGAAGCAGCGCCTGCGGATGGGAAAGCTTATGGTGGGAGCACAGCGTGGGCTCCGGGTGCTTTGACAGCACTGATGTCAACATCCTCCCCATTAAAATATTATTATTTGCAGTTAAACATGCCTCAGTTTTAAATTTTGCAATCATCCTCTCTGTTAAAAACCAGAGTGGATTACTGGGAATTTCCCAGCACCCCTTGTTCAACACTGACACTCAAAAACCAGAAAAATGGCTTGCTTGCTCCCAGCACACCGGGACGGGGCTCACGACCCCAGCCCGGCCTCGCACTGCACGGAGGAGGCCGGGGCGCGGGCAGGCGGCGGCTCAGCCCCGGTAACCGACAGCGCTCGATTTCTGGGGACCCTTCTGCGGGGGGCACAGCCACGCCCCTCCCCGGGACGGGCAGTTTGGCTTTTTGGTGGCTCAGGGTAGGGCGGGTGCTGGAGCTCTGCCTCCGCTCCCCCATCCACCAGTACGGATCAGAAACCTCAGCTGTTCCCAGCGTCAGCGTTCCTACCGGTGATGTTCTTCCACCGCTGAAGGAGAAAGGCAGAGCTGCCCGTTGCAATGTACAGACACAAATCCTCAATCAATGATCCCCGCCACGTATCTGGGGGTAAAGGCGGACGATGCACGAGGATCAGAAGATGATGAGCGAGTACTTTCCCTTCCAAATACTTCCAGCAACAGCGAGCAGCGCTGCGCGTTTAGGCTTGGCCGGTTTTCCCACTCTGCGAGCAGGATCCCTCGGCAGCAGCTGCCGGAGCTGCCCGGCCCCACAGGTTTGCAGTGGGCCCTGCGACACAGGGAAGCTACTCCGGGACAATAAAGCTGAGCAGAAGCACCAGTGACCCCAGCCTGAATAATTGCAGGATGGCCAGAGGGATGCTGCTCATGAACACGCTAATGGTAGGGCTGAGAAAGGATTCAATCCATAAGCAATTAAAAGCGAGGCAATCTGAGGAGCTCGGGCGAGTCAGCCTGGGTTTATGGCGAAGGGTGAATTATAAGTGCTGCTGGTAAAAGCCGCGGCGCTCGGGGAGGAGATCGGCCTCAGCAGGGCTGTTTGTCCTTCTCCTGCTTGACATTTTGACCAAGGAACCAGAGCGCTCCCCGTTCCTGTAGCTCACGCTGAGCCATGGCCGCCGCTGAGCTCGAACCTCGTTGGCGAGCGGCGGGGAACCTGCTTTCCCGGGGCTGAGCCCCCTTTCACTTTTCTCTTACTCAGCCGTATCTCTTTGATCGCCACTCCTCAGACCGCATCACCTGAACCTGCTCAGCCTTCCCCATGGCCAGGGAAAAGCCTTGGCCCTGGGCCCACCCTGGCCTGGCTCCGCGCCCTCCCCAGCTCCGCAGAGCCGGGACAGGGCGGGCAGGGCTGTGCCCGGTGCCTGGGATTCACGGATTTACCCCTTCTCTGTGCACCAAGTCTTTCCCAACCCGCCCCACGCGTTGGGTTTGGCTTCCCAACGCTTGCAAGCGCTGCGGTGGCATTTTCAAAGCCCTGGCTGTGACCACTGCCTGACCTGAGGGACAGCCACCTATTCTGCTGCCCTCGTGTCTGCAGGCCCCCCAGCACACGGGGTACAGCACACGGACAGCCGGTGAGATGCTGCAACGCGGCCTCTTCCTCCTCCTCCCATGGCAGCCCAGCTCGGGGGCACCGTCCGCCGGCAGCAGCGCCCAGGCTCTGCCGATGGCCTTGGGGCAGCTCCCCCTGTGCTCAGCCACCCAAAGCAGCCGCCTCGCTGCCCGCGGGGCGCCCCCGCTTGACGCTGCTTCTTCGGGCCCGTCTGCAGGCAGGGGGGAGCAAGGGAAGGTCTGGAGGCTTCTGGAGGTGCCAGCCCGGCCGCAGCTCCCTCCTTGCTCGTTACTTGTCTTTCCCAAGCTGCCGTCAGCTGGCAGCTTTGACAGGGTGACAACGCGCACAGAGCAACCCGTCACATCATTCAGACAACGGCAGCAACGCAAAAACGTACTAAAACCCCCCAACCACAGAGCTTACGTAAGTTTGGAAGAGACGGAGAGCAGGAACGGAAAAATCCTGCGCGTCGCTGTAATGGGAAGGACCAGTCCGCTCGTCACCGCCGGAGCATCGTTAAGGAAGGAAACGCGCTCTGGCCGCTACCCAGGGCTTGGGCTCTGCCTCCTGCCCGTACTTGCGGCCATGCGGGACGCGAGGTTTGCGGCCTGAGCTGTCGGCAGCCCCGGGAGCTCGTCCTGACGCCCCTTGGAGCCAGCCGCAGCCGGGGCTCAGCCGGGCCACCCCGCACCCCCAGCCCGGGGTGGCCGGCCCATCCCACCCGTTCACACACGTCCTGACCACGTCTCCCAGCACGGGGCACCAGGGCACCCCACGCACCACCTCTCTGCTTCACCACGAAGCCTCACTTGGCTTCTGCCCTGCGTGTCTTACCTTTTAACCAAGAACCCATTACCTCTTACCCATCACAGCTTGGTTTCTTCTTTCCAAGCCTTTAGAGGAGGATGTTGCAAAAAGCTCTTAAAAAAACCCTTATGTATCACCTAGATCACCAGCACCCAGAGTCAGGGACTCCTTCAGAGGGCTCGGGTCCGGCAGCAGGACTGTGCTCCAACCCATTTGACCAGAGCGTATCATGTCTACGCAAATATTTATTCAAAAGAAGATCTTCCAACATCCTTGATGCAAAAGCTACGACAGTTTGGAAGCCGAACCTGCATAGCAGCCCTGGTAACATTTGGCACCGTAAAACAAATGAAAAAAAGGGGGAAAAAAAGAACAATTTTGACTTTACCTTCCATGCGCTACAGCATGGTCTTTACTTACACCCTGTTCTAAGGTGGTGCTTCTTATCCTGGAGCCCTGCCTGCTTCAGAGCACTGTTACGTGGAATATTTAATAGTGTCTTTAAAAAACCCCCAAAATATCATGAGTCATAAATACTACATGATCCCAGCCCGAGCTATTTGCATTGGAAACGAGCAGACATGTCGGATGAACTCCAGAACTTACCCGGGGATACGGCAGGGATTGGGAGGGAAGAGGCTGTTTTGCTCTGGGGCTGCCATGGCAATG